GAGAGTATGGGTATATGAGTTGATGAAAAAGGCAAATACCTGGGCGGATCTAAAAACTGAAATGAAAAAGACTGCAAAAATGAAATTTCATGTAGAAGAGAAAATCGTAAGGCTAATAAGGATAAAGCAAGATAAAAACAAATCTGTAGTTGGGTTTACTAACAGATTCGAATTACATGTTTATGTAATAAAAAATGAAATCTGTGATAGAGAAAAATGAAAATAGTTTTTGGCAAGACTAAAAAGGGAGTACTGATCAAAGGTAAAAGAACATTATCCAGCTGACTACCGCCAAGTAGCTGTGAAAATTGAAAGATATAATAAAGTCAATGAGTTTGACTTGCAAACTGTAAATAACATGTTAATAAAAAAAAATAATGAAAACACTAAAACGGATATTGACGATCTGACAAAAGCAATGGAAGCCTTAAAAATTTTTCGGGTTGAAAAGAAACCTAACGATGACATTAAAGAAATAAAAGATGCGATCAAAGAAATAGCCAGGGCGATAAAAGACCTATTAAAAAAAGAAAATATTCAAAAGAGTGGTGATTGAAGTATGGGGCTTCAGTGTTATACATGCCAAAAGGATAGTCACATATCATGTGACTGTCTAGATAAAGTGTTGAAAGAACATTTCGTAAATAAATTTGAAGAATATCAGAGGAAAGAACGAAGTTCAAGTAAAGAAAATGAAAAACAAAAAGACCCTGATGTTCGTTTGGTGAAAATCACCAATATAGAATCAAAAGAAAATGGTAAATATTTGTTGGTTGAGTTGGTTAACGAAGAACAAGATGTAGGTGATGTTAGAAATCTAGAAAAAAGAAAATATAATGAACCAATGGTTAATGAAAGCCTAATAAAAGAGGAAAGTCCAGAAAAATATTAGAAGTAAAACCAGATGAATCACTATAGTCATCTACTCAAAAGGGTAATGATAAAAGTTCCGTTATGTATATACTATTAACAGAATTGACAGAAGATCTTGACATTCTAAAGGCCATCGCTGATTTAAAATTTAATATATCACTTGGGCAACTATTTAAATAGTCACCCAAAGCAAGAAATGAAATAATGAAAGCATTGGTGCAAAAAAGAAAAGCGGAAGATGTTATAGATGTGGATACTAGGCTAAGATTTGTAAAAGGAGAAAAAATGTGTGAGAATAAGAATGAAATAGTACCTATGTGAACCGCCTTGATTAACAGAGACCTAGTTAATGTGCCAATTGATCCTGATTCCTGCTTAAACCTCATACATAAAAATTATGCAAAGAAGAGGGGACTTAGATGGGATCAGGCATATGGAAAAGAAAGAATGTGGATAATAGAATTAGCGAATTTAAAGGTTACATACCTCAGGTAGAGGTTGAGATGGAAGGAGTAAAAACCAACCAAAGTTTCTAAATAATGGGGTCAGCAAGTTTCAACATTTTGCTTAGAATGCCATGGTTAGCTGGTGCCCAGTGTAATCTATATTGGAAAGAAAATAAGTATTGGTGTATGATATCGTCATCAGAAAGACAATCATCATTTATCATCTTGAAAGTGCTCTGGAGTTGGATAGAAAAAGATGAAGATATCGATGACAGTGAAATAGATGAATATAATGATGATGAGGCTGAAGTGAATCAAGTAACTGCATTGCGAAGATTTGAAATAGTAAACGAGGATGAACAAACCCTAAAAATGAGTAAAGAATGAACAAAAGATCAGAATGATCAAAGCATATCATGGCATAGACAAACTTTTGAAACTGAAATATCATTGAGGATGATGAGACCAATAGTTCTGCGAAAGCTAATGGCAGAGAATGTAGATTTACTGAATTTTGGGCCTGAACTCTTATCTGAAAAAAGACAATACATAAATGGGCAGTTAGTAAATGAAGTATCAAAAATGTTCGCTTTTGATATGTCCTAATTGGGCCATACTGATTTGGTAAAATACAAAGTGAGGACCAGAGGCGTAGAAATACTGCATATGAGATTGAGACCTATAAGGATTAACAATCCAGAGAAGGCTCAATTGTTTGAAGAACATTTGAAGCAAATGATAAAGTATGAGTTGTTGAAAGAAGAGAGAAGACCATATGCGTACTATTGTTTCCTGGTAGATAAAAAAGAAGGTAGTACTGATCAGATTTGTGCTATTAGAAATTTGAAACCACTAAATCAGCATATAATAAAAGACAGTTATCCACTACCAATAATCAGAGATATACTAGAGAAAGCAGCAGGCCAAGAATGGTATTTGAGTGTTGACGTATTCAAAGATACTAGTAAATACGAATCCGGGAAGAAGATCAAGATAAAGTGGTGGTATTGATGATGTTGGGTGTATTACGATATACTGTGATATGTATGGGCCTAAAAAATGCAAGTAAAACTTTTTAAAGACTGATGGACTTGGTTCTAAAAGAAGGAAAATGGAAAAGAATAGCTATAGCATATTAAGATGATGTCAGGTTATAGACAAATAAGAATTTAAAAGATCATGTGAATACGTTTATTGAATTAGCTAAAACATTTGAAAAGGCTGGACTCATGTTTGCCGCAAAAAAATGTTACATAGCATATAAACAGTTAAATATATATG